TTCGTTGCACTTCGCTTTTTAATTAACCTCGGGGCGCTGCCTCGCCGGGGTTAATGGCGGCGGTGACCCGCGCGGCCATCGATCCCCCGAGCCCCGCTCGCAGCCACGTTCGGGCCCCCTCGGGGTCCTGCGGGATGACAGGGGCGTGTGTCCCCCCCTCCCCTTCAATGCCACGCATGGCAGAGTCCCGCAGGGTGCCCCCGCTCTGCTGCCACGCATTGCTCCAGGTGTCCCCAGCCAGCTTTAGGGGTGCTCCCCGGTGCCACGTCCTAATTGGGGACCCCCTCCCGGTTATTCTTGGCCCCGTGGCCGTGCCAAAAGCGGGGTCCCCCCCCTCCTGCAGCCCCCTCCCAGCTCAGGTGCCCCTGTCACCCCTCCGCGCTTTAATCCGGGGCTCGTTCATCTTGGGCGGGGGCCGGGCTGTCAACGCCCAGACGGGCCATTTCCGAGCCGAGTCCCCCGCGCTCGGCCCTAATTGAATCCTCATGGCCCCGCCGCCGCCCCGGCCCCGCCGCGGCACCCGCCACCGTCCCGCTGCCCGCCGCAGGGCTCTGAGGGTCCCGGTGCCACGGAGGCACCGACCGGAGGAGCCCCTCACTCTCCCCGGTTGCTGCCCCCCCTCCCCCGGTACAGAGACCGGTGAGCAGCTCTGGGATCCCACGCGCCCCCACAGAGCCGCAGGTCAATCCTGAGCGGACCCCACCCCACGGGGGTCGCAGCGGGTCCCTGTGCCGGGGCAGGGATGGGAGCGCACCCCATGCGGGCCGTGCCGTGCCGTGCCGTGCCGTGCGGGGATCAGGGGCCGTGGGGGCGGCAGCGCGGCGGGGGGACAGCGGCGTTTGCTGCAGCCGGAGCTTTGAAATGCAAACCCCCCCCCCCCCCCCCCCCGCCCACGGCCCATTTGGCCGGAGTTTGGCCCAGGCACAAACGGAGGCCCCGGAGCGAGCAGGGGATGCCGGGGGGGTGCGGCAGCTGGGGCCGGTCCCTGGCTCTGGCACTGATGGCCCCACGTGTGTGTGTGTGCCCTGCCCACGCGTGTGGCGGCTCTGGTGTGTCCGTGAGCGCTCCACGCACACCTGGACACAGCTGCACACATCTGTACACACACCTGCACACAGCTGTGCCCGCACACACGGCTGCGAGAAGCCCGCTGGAGTGGCTGGGGCCACACAGACACACGGGTGGAGGCGTGTGCAGGGCCCTGTGTGTCCCTAATCCTGCGCTGTCCCCATGTCCACATCCCTATCCTATCCTATCCTATCCTATCCTATCCCATCCCATCCCATCCCATCCCATCCTATCCTATCCCATCCTATCCTATCCCATCCTATCCTATTCCATCCTATCCTATCCTATCCTATCCTATCCTATCCTATTCCATCCTATCCTATCCTATCCTATCCCATCCCATCCCATCCCCTCCCCATCCCCTTCCCATCCCCATCCCATCCCATGGATCCCATGCCATCCCATGGATCCCATCCCATCCCATCCCCATCCCATGGATCCCATCCCATCCCCTCCCCATCCCCTCCCCATCCCCATCCCATCCCATCCCATCCCATGGATCCCATGCCATCCCATCCCATGCCATGCCATCCCAACCCCATTCCCATCCCATCCCATCCCACCCCATGGATGCCATCCCACCCCATGGATCCCATCCCATGGATCCCATCCCCACCCCATCGATCCCACCCCACCCCATTCCCCGTCTCTCCCCCCATTCCCCGCTTGTGCTCAGACCCGCGGGGCTCGGGGGCGATGCCGCTCGCTCCCGTTAATGAATCGATGATTTGCCAACAGCCCCAGGGAGGGATCCCCGTCTCCCCTGGCACTCCCGGCACATCCACCCCCATTCACCGGAGCCAGGTGTAATCCCATTATTCCCGGCTCCTCGGAGCTCCCAGCCCGGCGCAGGGTCAGGATTTATTGCCGGTAATTGCCGGGGTCCCGTCCCCCGGCGCGGGGGGGCTCGGGGCACCCCCCCGCCGCTGCCGCCGCTGCTCACGCTTTAATTCCGCACCGAGCTGTTCCCTTATTAAAGGAAAATTCATTTGCCAGCGATTTCCATGTGCCGGGGCCGCGCGGGGCCGGGGCCCTAATCGCGTTACGGAGCGCTGCGGCGCAATATTGGGATGGAGCCGATAAATAATGGATCAGGGCGGCGCGGAGCGGGGGAGGCGCGTTCCGGGGGCGCCGCACCCCGAATTGTGTCGCCCCCGGTGCTGCGCTGGCACCCGCAGCACCCTGCTCCTGACACCCCAGAGCCCTGGCACCCCCAGCACCCCGCTCCTGACACCCCAGAGCCCTGGCACCCCGTTCCCGGAGCCCTGGCACCCCCAGAACCCTGCTCCTGACATCTTGCTCCTGGCACTCCCAGCACCCCGCTACCGGAGCCCTGACACCCCACTCCCGAATCTCTGGCACCCCCAGCACCCTGATCCTGACACCTCGGAGCCCTGGCACCTCAACACCCAGCTCCTGAGACCCCGGAGCCCTGGCACCCCCAGCACCCTGATCCTGGCACCCCGGAGCCTTGGCACCCCCAGCACCCCGCTCCCGGCCCCGGGTGGTGGAATACTGGGAGCTCCCGGTGCCCGGACCCACGGCAGCCCCCGAGATGGGGCGTGAGGGGTGGGGGAACACGGCAGCAGCTCCAGCTCCAGCACAAACATCACCACGGTGCCCCCTCAAACGTGGGGGGCACCAAACCTCCCTCACGTGTGCACACTCGCGAACACACACACACAGACACACAGACACAGAGACACGCGTGTGCCCCGGTGCTGCTCATGGCGGGGATGGAACGTGGTCCCAGACCTCCAGGACCCTCCCAGAGACCCCCAGGGACACCCCCGGGGTGGAGGAGCGGGACAAAGGCAGAGGTTGTCAGTGCCACCCTGGGGTGCCCTCAGCCCCACGCCGTGGACGTGCCCGTCCCCGTCCCCTCGGGCCTCGGGCCAGCCCCGGGCACTGTCCCGGCTCCGCAGGAAGCTCCCGTGTTCCTGCGAAACCCCCGAGGGCTCGTTTGGCTCCCACCCCGTGGCCTGGTTTGGGGTGAAAAGCGTTTCCCATCCTGTGTTCCCGCCAGCCGGAGCCAGCGCTTCCCACAGCGCGGGGAAGCCGCAGGGGTCGGGCAGGGCTGGGGGGCTCAGCACACCCCAAAAACGCCTCAGCGGCCGCTTTGGGGCACGAGGGGGGCTCGGGGAGGGAAGGAGGTGCCGGCACCATGAGCTGGGCGCGCCCCTGGGGGCAGGGATTCACCCCAAAGCTGCAGAGCAGGGTGGCGATAATGGGGGGCTGATGAAAGGGGGTGAGGGGGGTGACACCCCATCCATCAGGGCGAGCAGCACTGCGGCGTTCCCGCAGATCCCGAGGTGCCAGACCTCCAGGACCCCCAGAAACCCCCAGGGGTGGAGGAGCGGGACATCGGCTCCCGCATTCCCAGCCCGGGATTCCCGAGATCCCGCAGGAACCGGAGCGTTCCAGAGGGGTTTGCTCAGCGGGCGGGCGGCCGCGATTCCCATCAGCACCAGAACATGGAATCACCCCGAGCTGCGATTTCCCTCTGTGTGTGTGCCCCGGCACTGAGACCGCGGCCTCCCCACAGGGCTGGGACCCCCGGGAAGGGTTGGGGACCCCCGGGAAGGGTTGGGGACCCTCGGGAAGGGTTGGGGACCCCCGGGAAGGGCTGCGACCCCCATTCCTCGCTCACCGGGCCCCCAGGCCACAATGGTGGCCTCATTGCAGCGGTGCTGCTGGAAGGGACCGGGCTCACTCGGGTCCATCCCAGCGAGTGCGGGCCCGCTGTGGGGGTGGGAATGGGGGGTCCCAGCTCGGCCTGGGCTCCGTGTCCCGGTGAGCACCGGCGGCACGCGCGGCCGCGGCAGCTCCGCCATCTCCCCGCGCCCTGCGGAGAGGACAAAAGCCGCGTGCGAGGAATCCGTGCAAACGCCGCCGTGCGAGGGGCCCCGTGTCCCTCTCCCAAAACGAGCCCCCCCTTCCCCACCCCACTCCCCCCGCACCCGCCGGCCTTTAATTGCTCCGGCTGCTGGGAAATTTCAAGGTTGAATTTGTCAAACTCCGATTTCCAGCCGGGAGATCGCGTTCTGCCTTTGTCAGCAAGATTGGAAAAATCCATCCCCCCCCCACCACCACCCTCTCCATTCCCTCCCGCCCCCTCCCCACTTCCATAATCCCGGATCGGCGCTGCCCGATCCCCCTGCACCTGCTCCCCCAAGGCGGCTCCGTGAGCTCGCACCGGCCCCGGCACCGGCCGCAGGTTCATTACCGCCGTGACCCCCGTGACCCCGCCGTGTCCCCGCTCCCGGCGACACATCCATGGGGACACCCGGCGGGATTGGGCCTGAGGGGTACCGAGTCACCCCTCCGGAGGGGGAGATTCCGCATCCCCCAGCCCCAAAGCCGCCGGATAATCCGGACGCGGCGTCGCCAGCCGGGCCTCACCTGCGTGTGCGGCATCCCGGGATTTTTACGAGCGGCCGAAATCCCGGAGCTATTTGTACCGGGAAAGAGCAGCGGGAATGTGGCGGGGTGGGATGGGGGGCGGAGGTGGGGGGTGGGGGGGGGGGGGGATTTATGGCTCTGAAACCCAAAACCCACCCAAAAGGGCTTAATCACTCCCAGCCGCGGCCCCGATGCTTTTATGGGGCATTTTAGAGCAAAAGAGCCAATAAATTTTTGGGTGAGGGTAAGAGCCGCGGTGAGGATGAGGAGGGAGCAGAGGAGGAGGGGGGACGCGCTGGGGTGGGTTAAAATGGGGGAGACAACAGGGGGGAGGCGCGGGGCAGCGCCCCGGTAGTGGCGGAGAGGGGTCGGTCCCCCCCCCCCCCCCCCCCCGACAGGGGGGGCGTCGGTGGCTCCTCCTCCTCCCGGTATCCCGGGGCTTTAAGGCGCTGGAACGGGAATCGCGGGGCTGGGGGGGGGGGGGGGCGGCGGCGGCGGGTCCCGCTCCCGGCGCGGGTCCCGGTCCCGGCATGACCTCGGCGGGGGAGGCGGCCGGTTCCCCCCCGCTGCCCGCTGCGGTCGGCGGCCACCGGCGGAGCCCCCTGGACCGGCTCCCGCCCCCCGCCAACACCACAAAACCGCTGACCCCCTTCGGCATCGAGGACATCCTCGGGCGTCCCCGCGGCGGGAGCCCCCCCGGCACCGGCACCGGTCCCGCCGCCCCCCCCGCCCCGACAGGGCCCCGCGGCGGCGGCGGCGGCGGCTGCGCCCCGGCCTCGCCGCTCTGGGCGCTGGAGGAACTCGCCAGTAAAACCTTCCAGGGGCTGGAGCTGGGAATGCTGCAGGCGGCCGGAGGTACCGGGGCCGGGGGGCTCGGCCGGGAGCGGGGCGGGCACCGGGAAACGGGAACCGGGCACCGGGCAGGTGGCGGGGCTGGAGGGCGGCGGGGAGTCCGTGGCGAGGCCAGGGACGCCCCTCGTCCCCCGTTCCGGGAAGTTTCCTCCTTGTCCCAGAGGGGCCAGCGGGGCTGCGAGGCCTCAGAAGCCTCCGGTGCTCGGCCGGGACACCGGGGACACGCGGCAGCCTCGGCCCGAAGGGACGGAGAATCCCGGGGCCGGACACGGCGAACCGGAGCGAGCCCCGGCCTCGGTGAGCCGCCACGGGCACCGAGGAGCTCCGGGAGAACCGGCAGCTTTACCGGGAGCCGCGGGACCGGGCGGCGGATCGGCGCCGCCGAGTCGTGACCGTGACCGTGACCGAGCGCGGGGCCGCCGGTAACGGAAACCGGTACCGGCCCCGAGCCTCCGTCCGGGGCTCGGCCTGCCCGAGCCGCCCGGTACCGGCGGGGTCCGACAGCCGCTCATGGGCCGGCCCCACATCTCACGGGCTCGGAAGAACCGGGAGGACGGGCGGACACCGACAGACAGACAGCACGGCGCCTCCGGGAACGAAACAATCCGTTCCTAGGTTGGAGAGACAGACACGGACGGACAGATCGTGTCTCCGGGATTAACGGAAAATCCCTCACACCGAGGGACACATGGACAGGAAAAGCACGGGGATGAATAAAACCGTTACCGGGTCGGACAGACAGAAAAATGCTCCGATAATTAACGCTGAAAAATAATTACCGTTCCTTACCGAGACAGTCTCCGTGATTAACGTGGAAAAAAAAAATTACCGGGACGGACAGACCGACAGTCACGGCAGAGCAGCACGGCAATGCCGGTATTTAACGGATACGGTTGGGCACAACCGGACTCACGCCGGTAACGAAAAACCTCCGGACAGACGGACACGGACCGCTGGATCAGCCCTCCCGTGAGTAACCGAACCTCCGTTACCGGCCGGACAGACAGACGAGGATGGAGCCAGACTCCGGTAATTAACGGGGGAAAAAAATCCCTAATTACGGCGCTCCGGTAATTAAGGAATCCACCATAGCGGACAGACAGACAGACAGAGCAGCGATCCTGTGATTAACAAATAAACCAACCCGTTAACGGGCGGACAGACGAACAGAACGGGGACGCCTCGGGCTCCCGGTTTGAAGGTAAAAACCCTCGTTATCTGACAGACGGACACGGCAAGGAACGAAATAATTGACCGAAAATATTACCGGGTGGACAGACGGACAGGAACGGGGGCGAAAATTTCCTTTTTCCGGGACGGACAGACGGACAAAAACGGGGCCGATCGGGGCTCCCGGAATTAAGGTAAAAGGTTCGTTACCGGACGGACAGATCGACAGAAAAATAATCGAAAAAAAGAAAAACGAAATAAATCATTACCGGGTGATCAGACAGATAAAAACCGGAACGATAGCGGCTCCCGGGCGGGGGTAAATCCCCGTTACCGGCCGGACGGAAGGACAGACACGGGACTCATAAAAATAAACGAAAAAATCTCGCTGGGACCGGACAAACACGGGAGTGATCGGGGCTCCGGAGTGGCCGTGAAGCTCCGGTACCGGCCGGACAGACGGACACGGCCGAGCGGGGATCTCGCAATGAACAAAACCCGGTGGCGAACCGGCCGCGGGTAACGGCGGAACTAGCCGGGAGAGGCGGGCAGATGGAGGTGCCGGTAATTCAGGTAAAAGCTCGGTACCGGGACAACCCCGGCTTCCCGTTATGAACGAAAACGACGGAAGGACGGACTGACAACGGAGCGATCAGGGCTCCCTGAGCGGCGGTAAATCCCCGTTACCGGGATGGACGGACAGACAGAAACGGGGCTGATCGGGGCTCCGAGAGCGGAGGGGAAGCCCCGTTACTGGACCGATGGACGAACACGGCACCGATCGGGGTTCCGTGACCGCGGTAAAGCCGTGCTACCGGCACGGACCCACGGACTCGGCCGGGACCGCCCGGGGCTCCTCTACCGAACGAACGAGGAGCGGAGCCCGCGCTGCGAGAGACCCCGGGAGCCTCCGCCGGTACTGGGGGACGCACGGCCCGAGCGAGCCGCGTTACCGGCGCCACCGGCAGCGGCGGGGCTGGCACGGACCGGGGGCCGCAGCGGGAAAGAGACCGGGACAGCGATCGGGATCCGCCGGCGGCGAGCAGCCGTGCCCGGGGCGGCGATGGCGTCTCGCCGCGGTTCTCGAGGTGGCTTGGGCAGCAGGGACAGCACCGGGGCCGGGAGAGGCGGCGGGATCGAACCGGGGACCAGCACGGCCTCGGTTCTCCTGGAATCGCAGAGAAGGAGGATCCCGGTTCTCTGCCGAGGCTCCCGGCTTCGTTCCGGGCTCCCGGAGCAGCCGCCGAGGGGACGCGGGTGTCTCAGCCCCGGTCGCAACGGGGGCGACTCCGACACGGCCGCGGCCGCTGTGGAACGATGAGTCCCGGCTGCCGGCACCGGCCGCGGTTCGGTTTGCTCGGTTCGGTTGGGCACCACTCGTTTTGGCTCGTCTGCCTTCGGTTCCATGTGGGCCGGTTCGGCTCCCTTCCACCGGGAGGCGGCGGGGCCGGGACGCACCCGCAGGGCTCGGCGGGGCCGGTGCGGCTGCATTTACCGGTGTCCCGGCACTGCCGTGCCCTCAGGCCGGGCCCCGCCGTGCCCGGTGCATGTACCGGTGTCTTTGACCCGATGCCGCTGCCCCCGCAGCTCGAGGCCCGCGGTGCCGGTGCTGTTCGGGTCCCCGTGCCGGTCCCTGCCCCACAAGCCCTTCCCCGCCGGACATCCCGGTGCCGTTCCCGGTGCGATGCCCTGCCCTCGCAGGCGCTCCCCAGCCGGGCCCCCGGGTTCGTTCCCCGGTGCTGCTCCCCGGTTCCCGTGCCCTAACCCCGCTGTCTCCGCAGGTCCATCCCCGCCGGGCGCCTCGGGCCCGCGCCCTCCCTGCAGGAAGCGTCGCAAGTCCCGGACCGCGTTCACGGCGCAGCAGCTGCGGGAGCTGGAGCAGCGATTCCGGCGGCAGCGCTACCTCTCCCCGGTGGACCGGGACGCGCTGGCGGCGCGCCTGGCGCTCTCCGCCGCCCAGGTCATCACCTGGTTCCAGAACCGCCGCGCCAAGCTCAAGCGGGACCTGGAGGAGCTGCGGGCGGACGTGGCCTCGCTGCAAGCGCTGCCGCCCGCCGCCCTGCAGCAGCTGGCGGGGCTGCCCGAGCCCCCGGGGGCTCCCGGCACCGGCACCGGGACCACAGAGCCCGCCGAGCTCTCGGAGGAGGAGATCGACGTGGCGGACTGAGCCGAGAGCGCTCGGCTCCGTTCGGATTCACTCGGGCCGGCTCGGCTGAGTTCGGATTCACTCGGGTCGGTTCGGCTGAGTTCGAATTCACTCGGGTCGGTTCGGCTGAGTTCGGATTCACTCGGGTCGGGTCAGGCCGAGACTGCTCCGTTCGGCTTCGTTCGGCTCAGTTCGGGTGCACTCGGCTCCTTTCGGCTCAGTTCGGGTGCACTCGGCTCCGTTCCGACTTACTCGGCCCCACCACATCGGTTCCGAAAGAATCCGAGCCCAGCCCCGCCCCCTCCGTGCACCCTTTTGCGGCTTTTAAATTTTTTTTTTTGTCTTTCCATTGTTTTTTTCTTTTCTTTTTTAAATTTTATTTTCTATCGGCCCCGATGTAAATATTTGCAATAAAGGCAACACCTTAATATGGACCCCAGAGCCCCCCACCCACCTCCCCCACACTTTTTTCCAGGCGAGCACCTCCCACCGCGGGCATTAATTTGTTTTAACCGGTGATTAATTACCGGCTGCGGCCGCCCCTGCCCCCCTCAATTTGCATATTAATCAAATTGTATTTGATCTCACGCCTGTCACCAAACAGTGACATAAAGGGGAGTGGAGACCCCCCCCCCTCTTGTTGTCCCCTGGGGCTGGAGTGACATGGGGAGCGACAAGGGACAGAGGGGGACACGGGGTGGACACAGAGATGGCAGAGAGGCTGAGTGACACCAGCCCAAAGAAAGGCCGGAGAGAAAAACAAATCTCAGCTTTATTAAAAAACCCAAATTGCTACAAATCCCTGAGGGGCCCTGGGAACAGCCCAGGCCCACCCCCCCAGCACAAGGGGCTGCAGGGTGGGCCCCGACCCCCCCAGCACCCCCAAAGGCAGGACGGGGAGACATCCCCACCCCTGGCAGTGGGGGACAAGGCACAGGCAGGTGAGGGGGGGCTGCCAGGGTGCCCCCAGCAGAGCAGGGTCAGCTGAGCAGCCCCCCGGGGGTGGCCTTGCCCTTGGCACGGGGCACGGGGGCCGGCGTGGCGTGGGCCGGGTGCTTGAGCTGCAGCAGCAGCTTGCTGCCCTCCACGGTGGCACCCTAGGGACACAAGGAGCTGGCAGCTGGCACAGGTGTGTCCCTGAGGGGTGCAGGGGGGTCCCACAAGTCCCCCCCAGCTCACCTGCATGGCCCTGAAGGCCTCCTCGGCCTCTGCTTTGCCACGGAAGTTGATGAAGGCACAGCGGCGCCCCGGGAGCAGCCGCACGGAGCGGATCTCCCCAAACCTGGGGGGCACACACAGACCCCCAAATTTGGGGAGGGACAACAGTTAGAGATTCCTAAATGGGGAGCTGGAGGGTTAGAGACCCCCCAAACCTGCAGGGTTGGCGGGTCAGAGACTCTTAAGTGTGTAAAGCAACTTTAGCAACCCCCAAAAGCTGAAGAAGGGTGAAAGACTCCCAAGCATGGAGAGAGCGAGACACCCCCAAATCTCCAGGATGGGGGAACAAATTCCCAAAGCTGAGGGGGAACAGAAACTCCCAAAGCTGAGGGGGAACAGTTAAAGACACCCCAAGCTGTGGGTCAGACCCCCCAAACCTGGGAGCAGTGTCTAAGTCAGACACTACTCCCCAAGGATTCCCTGCATGTCAGAACCAGCAGAGCACAAGGACAGGAACAGAGCGTGGGGGTCACCAGGGGGGTGCCAGGGGTTTGGGGTCCTGCAGAAGGAGCAGCCCCGGGGTCACTCACCGGCCAAAGGCACGACGCAGCACCTTCTCAGTGATGTAGGAGGTGACATTGCCCACCCAGAGCGGGAAGCAGTCCCTGCCAAGAGCCATCCTGGTGTCACCACAGCCAGCACTGCCCCACTCTGAGCCCCTTCCCACACCACCAGACCCCCATACCTGGCAGGGTGGCTCGGTGGCAGTGTTGGGCAGCCACTGGCCACAGCAGGTGCCCGTTCTGGGTCTTTTGTTGGGGTCTTGCCACTGCTTCCCGTCACAGTTTTGTCACCTGTGTCCTGGCAGCTCCTGGTTGTCCATCCTGCTGCCGAGGAGCCAAAGGGCTTCAGCACCACTGGGGACACAGGGACAGCCCCGGAGGTCCCCCCAAGCCCACCCACCCCTGTCCCTTACCAGGGAGGAACAGCGGCTCCTTGGCCTTGAGCAGGAAGGGGGACACGGGCACACCGCCGGGGCGGCTGCACTGCTGTGAGGGCACAGGGGTGAGGCGTGGGGGGCACAGCAGGGCAGGGGGCGGGGGCAGGGGGTGGGGAAAGGGGGGTCTCACCTGCAGCAGGGCCCTGCAGGCCTCCAGCTGCGTGGCTGCCTCAGCGTAGGCCCCGTCCTGCAGCAGCAGCTCCTCGAAGGCGCGAGCGGCCTCGGCGTAGCGCTGGGGGCCAGGGGGAACCTACAGCCCCTGCCTGCCCCCACAGGCACCCCACGCCCCCCACCCAGCCCAAATGCACCTCAAAGCCTCATTGACATCTCCCAGTGCAGCCCACATCCTGTGCCCTGCCCAGTCCCTCGAGCCCCAACTCACACCGAGTGCAGCCAGCCCACCCCTCATCCACAGCACCCTACAGTTCCCCACAGCCCCCCCCAGCCCAAATGCACCTCAAAGCCTCACTGACACCCCCAAACGCAGCTCTAACCCACCCCACCAACACCCTGCAACACCTCCAGTGCCTGACCCAGTCCCCGCAGCCCCAACTCACACCTAATGCACCAGCCCCACCCCTCACCCACAGCACCCTACAGCCCCCACCCAGCCCAAATGGCACCTCAAAGCCTCACTGACACCCCCCAGTACAGCCCGACCCTACCCCACCAACACCTTGTAGCATCCCCCCGTGCTCTGCCCAGTCCTCCCAGCCCAAATCCGCATCTAATGCACCAGCCCCACCCCTCATCCACAACACCCTGCAGCTCCTCCAGTTCCCCACAGCCCCCTCCCAGCCTAAACGGCACCTCAAAGTGTCACTGACATCCCCCAGTGCAGCCCTACCCCACCCCAGCAGCACCCTGTGCCCTGCGTGCTCCCAGCCCCAACTCACACCAAATGCACCAGCCCACCCCCCAATCCACAGCCCCCACCCAGCCCAAATGGCACCTCAAAGTGTCACTGACACCCCCAAATGCAGCTCTACCCCACCCCACCAACACTCCAGCAGCACACCCAATGCCCTGCCCAGTGCTCCCAGCCCCAACTCACACCTACTGCACCAGCCCACCCCACATCCACAGCACCCTACAGCCCCCATCCAGCCCCAAATGGCAACTCAGAGCCTCACTGACACCCCCACAGTGCAGCCCTACCCCACCCCGCCAACACCCAATGCCCTGCCCAGTCCTCCCAGCCCCAACTCACACCTACTGCATCCCTCATCCCCAGCACCCTACAGCCCCTCCAGTTCCCCACACCCACTGGCACCCCAAATCCCCCAGTTTGTCTCCAACAACTCACTCCCAGAACCCCACAGCCCCTCACCCAGCCATGCCCCCCCCAAGACCCCAGCCCCTGGAGCCCCCCCAGGTACCTGGAGCCCCCTGAGGGCTTTGCCCTTGCGGAAGGAGCCCTTGGGCCAGCCCGGCTGCAGCTCCAGCGCCGCCTCCGCGTCCGCCAGCGCCTCCTCATAGCGCCCCAGCTTCTCCAGGCAGTAGGAGCGGTTCCCCAGGAGCCTGAGGGGGTGTGGGGGTGTCACTGAGGCCGGGCCCTGCCAGCCCAGCACCCCCAGGTCACCCCCAGCCCCTCTGCTCACCGGTGCTCCCGGGGGTTCAGCTCCAGGGCCATGGTGAAAGCCCACACGGCCTCAGAGTGTTGGCCCATCTGGGCTGCCTCGATGCCGTGGCCTGGGGAGGGGACACAGGGAGGGACAGTGCCCCTAGCACAGCCCCTCTGAGCTGGGGAGAAGCAGGGAGAGCCCTCAATGCCCTCCCCTGGCCTCGCTGGAGGTCCCTGCACTGACCTGCAAGCGCCAGGCTCTGTGCCAGCGTGCTGGGGCTGGGGGGGCTGGCCTGGGGGGGCTGAGGGGACACAGGTGTCCCCACAGGGTCCCCACTTCCCTTTTCTGGCACCTTCCTGCTTGGTTCCACCACGTTCTGTGGCCCAGGGGAGCGGTCAGTGCCCGGGGGGGGCAGCCTGACCCCTGCCTTCTCCCGGGCTTTGCAGACAAAAGTGCAGCTTAGGTCCAGCTCCTCCTGGGGAAGCAGGGAGGGATGAGGGATGGGCAGGCAGACCCCTGGGACCCCCAGCCCCACACAGCCCCCATGGGGAGACTGTCCCTCACCTCTGCCATGGCTGTGTCCTCTGGGCCAGACTCCTCTGAGGGCACAGTGGAGTCCCCAGGGCACGGGGAGGGCTCTGGGCAGCACCCCTCATCCTCAGCAGCCTCTGAGGGAGGCCCAGCGCCTGCAGGGCCACTTGGGGGGCTCTGCAAGGACAGGGAGGGGGTGAGGTGACAGGCTTAAGGGGTGCTGGCTGGCCCCATCACCTCTGGGCACCCCTAGAACAGCACGAGCAGGCTGGCCTGGTCACTCACTGGGTCAGTGTTCTCTTTGTTCTTCTGCTCTTGACCCAGTTTCTCCCGTTTCTTTCGGTCCTTTTGTTTCTGAAAAGGAGGAACATGAACCCACGAGCAGAGAAATGCAGCCTCAGCTTTCAGCTCAGGGACTGGCTGGCAGCACCCCAACAAGAGGCAGCGACCCCAATCCCCAGGAGCTGGCAGTGATCCCTCCCAGGGCTCACTCACCTTCTTCTTCAGCTTCTTCTTCTCTGCTTTCCTCTTGGCTCTCTCCTCCTCTTCCATCAGCTCCTGAGCATTCTTGTCAGCCTCCTGCAGGAGTTACCTGAGTCAGGACAGCTCCGGGGACCCTCTGGTGACCCTGGGGGACACCGAGGGGATTTTGCCCACCTCAGCCGTGGGCCAGGCCCGCTGAGGCGTGGGCAGCCGGTCCAGCCGCGCGTCCAGGGCGGTGGGAGGGGTCCGGGGCGGCTCCGAGCACAGGAAGGACTTGCGGAAGCCGCAGTAGCTGTAAGGAACGGTTCCCTCCGCCACCGGAACGCCCAGGAACTGCAAACCCGCGGCGAACTCGTCCTCATCGTAATCGTAATTGCCGTCCTCATCATCATCATCAATACCCCGGGGATAGTAATCCGCCGTGGGGCCTGGCAAGAGAGCGGGGTGCGTGAGGAGCAGTCCCGGGCACCGGATCCCGGCTGTCCCCACGCCGTTCCCCCTCCCATGGCAATTCCCGAGCACGGGGACCCCCGGTAGCCCCCGCCGCACTCACCGTCATCCCAGAGCAGACACACCTCACTCTCCTCATACCTAATCACCGGCTGGGACGGCACCGGCAGGTCGTCGAGGCTGGACATGCGGTGCCGGGGGCAGAAGGGCGCTGTGGGGAGCACAAACAGCCGTGAGCCGGCGGAGGCAGAACCGAAACCGGGCCGCGCTCTGGGCTCCCCCGCGCCCGGTCCGTACCGCCGCTCCAGCCAGCGGGGCCCGGCGTGCAGCCCCAGGGGCAGGCAGCGGCAGCCGGCCCGAAACCGCCCAGACCGGGCCCGTCCCGCTCCCGCGGCCCGCCCGAGCCCCGCATCGCCACGAGCCGCCGCCGCCGCCGCGCCTCGGGATTGCATCACGGCCCTACCGGAACAACGTCACGGCTCCGGTCGAGGCCGCCCCGCCGCCATGTTGGGTGCGGGCAGGACGGCGGCCCGCAGGGCCCTCACGGAGCGGGACCGGCGCTCCTCATCCTCTCCCGCCGTCCCCGCCTGCCGCAAGGCCTTGGGCTCGGCCGCCCTCCGCTGCTCGTCCCGCCCCTCACGCCGGGCCCCTCCTGGCGGCCACCTTGGCCCAGCCCCCCGGATTAGCGAGGGCGCGGCCTAAGCCTCTTTGCTGCCACCGCCCCCGGCATGGCCCGGCATGGACGCCGGCGGCGCTGAGCGGCGCGGCGGAGAGCTTTGCCTGCAGGTGAGGCCGCTCGGGGCAGGGGGGGCTCGGACACCCCTCCCGGGACAGCGGCGGGGCCGGGCCGGTACCGCGGTGGGCGGGGGGGCACCGGGCCTAGGTGGTGCTGCGTCTCCATGGCAACGGCGCAGGGGGCGGGGCGGGGGAGTGGCCAACCGTGGCGAGCACTGAGGGGGCGTGGCCACAGCGGGAGCCGGTTGGGGGCGTGGCGTGGGCGCGGTCTGTGCGGTAATGGGCGTGGTAATGCGTGGCCCCGCCCTTCGCCCGGGCCCGGGGGTCCTGAGCCCCCCGTTCCCCTCCAGGTGGGCGACGCCGGCCTGGGCGGTCTCATCCTGCTGCTGCTGACGGCCCGGCCGGGACCGGGCGATGGGGCTGCCCGCGGGGACCCCCCCGAGCCCGGTGAGACTCCAAGGGACTGCGGGGAGCACAAGGGGGCGGGGATCCTGATGGGGTGCGTGGTCCTGGGGGGAATGTGGAGGGTCCGGGGTCCCTGGGGGGGGCATTAATGCCATGTGGGGGCCCCAATGGGCAGTGGGATCCTGAGTGTCTCAGGGTTAGGATGGCAGTGAGACAGTGATGGGCGGGTGCTGTCCCACAACAAGGTTTTTCAAACTGGGGTTGCCCACCCTACACCGTGGTCCCCGCCCCATCCTGAGGGTGCCGTGCCCCCAGGCGGGTCGCGGGGGCCCCTGGCGCGCTCCTTGCAGCGGGCAGAGGCCATGCTGCGCAGCGTCACCCCGGGACTGCGCCGCCTGCTGTCCCCGCGGTCGAGCCGGCGCGGTGACACCGACGAGGACGACGACGAGGACGAGGACGAAGCAGCGTCTATCGTGGTCCCGCTGGAGCAGACCTTCCCAGCTCTGCGCCGCTGCCTGTGCGTCTGGGAGGACCCTCGCACCGAGACCTTCCTGGGCTACGTGCGGCCCCCTCCCGGTGGCAGTGGTGGTGCCGGTGACTTTTCCGAGGACGCCGTGCGGCGGCGCGTGGCGGAGCGGGGAGCGACCCTGCATGCGCTGCTGCAGCACCGCCACCAGCTCCGCCTGGCCCGCGACTTCACTCGACGCCTCAAGGCCTCCTCCGACTTCCTGCGGCGGCTGCAGGCGTTACCGGAGCCCGGTGAGGCGGCGCTGCCGGCGCTGCGGGAGCTGTGCGCGGAGCTGCGGGCGCACGCGGGGCACTGGGCCGCGCTGCTGCGGCGGCTGCGGGCGGACGCGTGGCTGCGGGCGCTGCCGCAGCGCCGGGGCCAGGCCGTGCTGCACGTGCGCTGGGCGCTGCTGCTGCCCGCCGTGACGGCCGCACGCCTCACCGGGCGGCACATCGAGGCACGGCTGAGGCAGCTGGGCCGCCCCGGTAATCCCGCCCTGGCTGCTGAGGGCCTGGCTGAGCTGTTCCAGGGGCTGGAGATCTACAACCGCGCGGTGACGGGGCTGGCCGAGGAGCTGGGCCCCGAGGTGAGGGCGCCCGGTGCCTTCACGGTGGGCGCGGTGCTGCGGCTGCTGGCGGCCGAGCGCGGCCGGGCCGTGGCCCAGAGGCTCCGGCCCCTCCTGTGGCCCCAAAGTGGGGACGTCAGGGATAGACACGTCCGCTGGGAGAATGTGGGGGTGCCGTGGCCACCTACGGCTGAGATGGACACAGAACCTTCTGGAGCAGCAGCGGTGCTGGCGGCTGAGCTGCAGGCACTGTGCCAGGAGGACGAGGAGCTGATGGGACACGTTTTTGGGGCGCTGGTGGCCTCAGCTGACAGCCTGTGGCAGCCGGTGCTGTCAGAGAGCCCCGAGCCTGCGGGGCTGCGGCCGGGCAGTGCCGGGGGCTGGAAGGCCGTGCGGTGGCTGGACGCTGCCCGCGGCCCCGTGGCCGCCACCCTGAGCGCCCGGTACCGCCTGCTGCTCTGGGAGAATGTGGGAGCTGTGCTGGGGGACAGCCCGGGCACCCCTCCTGCCTCCCCCAGTGCCACCGTCACCACGGCGTGGGAGCTGAGCCGTGCGCTGGCTGTTGGTACGTGTGGGGGTGCGGGGGGTGCGGGGTCCCTCGGGGTGTCCCTGTGCCACGCTGAGCCCCGCTGTGTCCCCGCTGTGTCCCCACAGCCCGTGTGCCCGCTGAGTGCCGGGAGGAGCTGGGACGGCTCTGCCTGCAGCTGCTGTGCCGGGGTGTTCTCTGCAGCTGGGACACGGGTATGGGGACTAGGGGGCCACAGGGAGGGGGGCAGGGTGTGGGGTGGGGCATGGGGTCTGGGGTACAAGGTGTGGGGCAGGATGTGGGGCACTCAGTGGATATGGGGTGAGGGAGTGGGTTATGCTCTGAAGGGTTAGATATGCGATATGGGGTAGGGTGTGGGGTGCAAGTGGGGGATGTTGGGGCATTCTGACTGTTCCTCCTCCAGATTTTACCCGTGCTCTGGGCTCAGGGCTCTCAGACAAGTGCTTGGAGTCCCCAGGGGGGTCCCCAGGGCCCGGGTGCAGCCGCACAGCCCAGCAGCTCCGGTGCCTCTTCCCAGCCCTGGCGCTGGCCCTGCGCTGTCTGCGCCTGCTGCCCGCCCGCCCGCACGGTGAGAGGGGTCTGGGAAGGGGGGCAGCGGCTCTGGGGGTCCTCCCTGTGCTGACCCCCGCCCGCAGCCCCCCCTGGGGGTCTCTGCCTGCGGCTGCAGGTGCTGGGCCGGTGCCTGGCGGCGGTGGCGGCCGCCCACGCGTGGCTGACGGGCCGGGCCGGGCGGTACCTGGCGGCCTGGGCACTGCCTCAGTTCCTGCTGCTCACCCAGGGAGACCTGCAGGTACGGGGGGCATGGGGGGTACAGGGGGCTGGGGGGACACGGCAGGGCTGGGCTCACTCCCCCTGCTCCCCTCCAGGTGCTGAAGGCAGAGGCAGAGCAGCTGATGCTGCACGTGAGCAGGACCTTCCCAGAGCCAGGGGACATTCCTGGGGACAGCCCCCCTGAGCCACCCCCCAGCCTGGGATCCCCGTGGGAGCTCCAGCTGTGCCGGCAGATCCGTGACGTGGCCAACAGCATCCAGGTATGGTGGGACTGCGGGCGGGTGGTCTGAGCATGAAGATGCCTGTGTCACCCTGTGTCACCTTGTGTCACCCTGTATCCCAGCTGTTCTCCGGGGACGTGCTCTGGATGTTCTCCACCAGCTGCAAGCGGCTCTCAGCCGAGATCTTTGACCAGACGATGCCTCTGGGCCGGCACTGGCGGCTCGGGCCCCGCGCTGGTGGGTGCTGGGGCTGGGGGGCTGGGAGGGGATTTGGGGGCTCACTGACCAGTGTCCCTGTGTCCCTGTGTCCCCCAGAGCTGCCCAGCTCCCCCAGCGCCTACGCGGCGGCCGCGGTGCAGGCGGTGCTGGGGCAGGTGCTGCAGGGTGCCCAGGCCCTGCCCCACGATGCCCAGGTGCCCACCCTGGCACGGGTCACCACGGCCTTCCTGGAGGCCTGGATGGATCACATCCTGACCCGACGGATCAAGTTCAGGTACTGGGAATGGGGGGGCATGGCCTCTGGGCAGTGCTGGGGGTCCCAGTGGCAGCTTCAGAGGTCCCAGTGGGGTCCTGGAGGTCCCAGTGGCAATACAGGGATCCCAGTGGCAGTTCCATGGGTCCCAGAGGAGTTTTGGGGGTCGCAGTGGCAGTTCCAGAGGTTGTGGGGGTCCCAGTGGCAGTTTCAGAGGTCCCAGTGGGGTTCTGGGGGTCCCAGTGGCAATACAGGGGTCCCAGTGGCAGTTCCATGGGTCACAGAGGAGTTTTGGAAGTCCCAGTGGCAGTTCCAGGGGTCCCAGTGGGATCCTGAGGGTCCCAGTGGCAGTTTCAGAGGTCCCAGTGGCAGTGCTGGGGGTCCCAGTGCCCGTTCCAGGGGTCCCAGTGGGGTTCAGGGGGTCCCAGTGGCAGTTTCAGAGGTCCCAGTTGTGTCCTGGAGGTCCCAGTGGCAGTTCCAGGGGTCCTACTGGGGTTCTGGGGGTCCCAGTGGCAGTTCCAGGGGTCCCAGTGGCAGTGCTGGGTGTCCAATGCCAGTCCCAGGGTCCCAGTGGCAGTGCTGGGGGTCCAATGTCCAATGCCAGACCAGGGCAGGGGGCTCAGTGGCAGGTTGGGGTCCCACTGTTGGGGTCCCACTGGGGTCCCCTGTCCCAGGGGGGTCCTGGGAGCTCTGGTGACAGTGCCAGAGGCTCTGTGGGGGTCCCAGGGGGCTCCTGGGGGCTCTGGTGACAGTGCCAGAGGCTCTGTGGGGTCCCGCTGGTGGTCATGGGGGTCTGCTGGCAGTGCCAGGATCTCGGTGCTGGTCACAGCGTGTGGTGGCGGTGCCGGGGGGTTCTGTGGGGTCCTGCTGGGGGTTCGGGGTCGCACCCCCCCGCTGACCCCCGTGCCAGCCTGCAGGGTGCCCTGCAGCTGCGGCGGGACTTCGAGGCCGTGCGGGAGCTGGTGTGCTCGGAGCGCTCCGGGCTGGCCCCCGAGGCGCGGCAGGCGCTGCGGGCCCTCTGCGTGTTCCGGCACACGGACACGGCCGTGCGCTGCCTCCTGCAGCAGCCCGGGGGGCTCGGGGGGCACCCCCGCGCCTGGGGCAGCCTCCGGCGCTGCTGTGAGAGCCAGACCGACCGGGAATGGGCTGGGGAATGGGGAATGGGGTGGGGAATGGGGTGGGAGGGGTGGGGAATGCGGTGGGAGGGGATGGGGAATGGGCTGGGAGGAGATGGGGCTGAGATGTGGTGGGATTGGGATGAGGTGGGGTGGGAAATGGGCTGGGAGGGTGGGGAATGGGGTGGGGCATGGGGAATGGGGTGGGGCATGGGGTGGGGAATGGGATGGGAGGGGTGGGGATCAGAGAGGGTGGGATTGGGATGAGGTGGGGTGGGAAATGGGCTGGGAAGGGTGGGGAATGGGGTGGGGCATGGGGTGGGAGGGGATGAGACAGGCGGGGATGGGGTAGGATGGGGATGGGATGGGGTGGAGATGGAATGGGACAGGGTGGGATAGGGATCGGGAGATTGGGACAAGGGTGGATGGGAACAGAGAGAGGGACCAGGATCTGGATGGGATTGGAATGGGGATGGAGTAGGGGTGGGGTGGGATTGGGATGAAATGGGGGGGAGATGGGATGGCCCAGGGTGGAGGACTAGGGACTAGGATGGATGGGGATAGGGAGAATGGGACAAGGACTGATGGGGACCAGGATGGGGATGGGATTGGAATGGGGATGGGGAGATTGGGACAAGAATGGATGGGGACAGGGAGAGGGACCAGGATGGGGATGGGATTGGAGTGGGGATGGGGTGGGAATGGGGTGGGATGAAGATGAGATGGCGTGGTGATAAAATGGGAGTTGGATGGGATGAGGTGGAGCGGGATTGCGATGAAAGGGGATGGGACGGGGAGGACTGGGACAAGGATGGATGGGGACAAGGAGAGGGACAAGGATGGGGATGGGATTGGAATGGGCTGGGGATGGAATGGGACAGGACAGGTGGGATAGGGATCAGGAGATTGGGACAAGAATGGATGGGGACAAGGAGAGGGACAAGGATCTGGATGGGATGGGGATGGAAATGAGATGGTGTGGGATGGAGTGGGATTGGGATGAAGATGAGATGGGGTGGTGATAAAATGGGAATCGGATGGGATGAGGTGGAGTGGGATTGGGATGAAATGGAGTGGAGATGGGATGGGACTAGGTGGAGAATTGGGACAAGGATGAATGGGGATAGGGAGAGTGGGACAAGGATGGGGATGGGATTGGAACGGGGATGGGTGTGGGATGGGACAAGGACTGATGGGGACAGGAAGAGGGACAAGGATCTGGATGGGATTGGAATGGGGATGGGGTGGGGATGGGGACGCGATGGGATGGGGTGGGATTGGGATGAAGATGAGTTGGGGTGGTGATAAAATGGGAATCGGATGGGATGAGGTGGAGTGGGATTCAGATGAAATGGGGTGGAGATGGGATGGGACAGGAGGGAGGATTGGGACTAGGATGGATGGGGACAGGGAGAGGGACAAGGATGGAGATGGGGTGGGAATGGGACAGGGTGGGATAAGGACTGGGAGACTGGGACAAGGATGGATGGGGAAAGAAAGAGGGACAAGGATCTGGATGGGATTGGAATGGGGATGGGGACAGGAACCGCCATCAGAAGCAAGACCCAGCCTATCCATCTATCCAACCTCTCCCAAACCCATCCATCCCTTGCCAGGCTCAGACGAAGGCGCCCACCCCCTGGAACCATCCATGGACCCTCTCCCTGGCCTGGACCCTCTGGAGGGGCTGGGCCCAGTGCCAGGGACCCCCCCTGTGTCTCCAGAGGCCGATGTCCCGGCCCGGCCCGAGTCCCCATTCCCGGGCAGCCAGCAGCAGTGGCTGTCCCTGCGGCTGCACCGTGCCCGCCGCTGGCGCGTGCCAGGGCTGCCGTGCGTGGGGAACAGCCCCGAGGGCTGAGCTGCAATAAACCTGCAAACACCACCGTGGCTGTGTCTGCGGCTGGGACAGTGGGGTCTGGGGATCTGGTATCCCTGGGCTGTGATCCTGGGATTCCAGCTGGGACCAGTTGCTGGTGGGTGGGCAGGATCTAACTGGGACTTTTGTGGGGAGACTGGTGGGGACTGGGGGTGCAGAGTGGGATTCCCTTGGGGTCCTGGGGGGCACTGCGGGTGCATAGCTGGGGTTCCATGGTGATCCTAGGGAAAGCTGGGGGTCCTTTGGGTATCCCCGGAGAGATCAACGGGCATAACAAACCGGACATGAGGAGGTGGCCTGGGTGGCAGGGCAGCTCGGGGACACCGTGCGGTGTCGTTGTCGCCTCGGGGCCGCTTTGTGCCAGAGGGGGGACTGAGCCTGCTCCTGGTCCTCCCGCCCGCCAGGGGGCGCTCGCAGAACGGGCTTGGCCGCAGCTGGCGCAGCGCTGCCGTCACCAGCGCGACTGCCCTGATGGCGGGCGAGCGGCGGCGGCGCGGCGGGGATGGACCCCGGGAACGGCCCCGGGAGCGGCTACGGGACCGGGACCCGAAACTGCGGCAACAGCAAAAGCCGCAGCGAGGCTCCGGGCGGGGCCGGACGGCGCTGGCGCTCACAGCGGCAGCGGCAGCGCTGGCGCTGTGTCTGGCGGCGGCGGCTGCCGGGTGGAAGCGGTGGAGCGAAGCCTCCCGCCTGGTCACCCCGCACCCCGCGCCCCCCGCCGTCCCCCCCGGTTCCACCGGGCCTCTCGCGTCGCCCACCTATTTCTGGGGCACGTACCGGCCCCACGTTTACTTCGGGATGAAGACGCGGAGCCCGCGCGCTGTGGTGACCGGTGAGGGGCGCGGGGGGCTCTGCCCCGGCCCGGGGCTCGCCCGGCCCCGTTCGCACCGCGAGGCCGCCCCTGACACCTCCCCGCCCCTCCAGGACTGATGTGGCTCCAACACGGCGGCAACTTGCGGCACACGAGCGAGCAGAACGACGGCGTGTCGCGATACGGGTGGCTGATGCACGACGGGGAGAATTTCGGAGTGCAGGAGATCCGCGATGAGGGGCTGTTGCTGAGAACCGAGTTCGTGAAGCAGCCGGGGGGAGACCACGGCGGCGACTGGAGCTGGCGGGTCACGGCGAAGATGGAGGTGAGGGGGTGACAGTGGGAGAGGGGTTGGTATGCTGGGGAGCTTTTATCATCCTCCTCTTCCTCCTCCCCAGGGCAAGGGCCCGGCCCCTCTCCTGTCCCTCTTCTTCTACGTGGCCACAGACGGGCAAGGGACGCTGCGGCCGGTGCTGGAGAACGGGACACGGCTGGCGGCTGTGGCAGGGACGGCAGATGAGCTCGGGGACTTCACCCTCACCTTCCTGCCGCCCACCGGCGAGGGTGGGAAGGGGCCCAAGTACGCCAGGTGAGTGTCTGGGCTGTGTCCCCTCCATCTGCCCCCATGTCCCCACCGTGTCCCCCATCCCTGATTCTCCTCTCCCCCCCAGCTACAACTTCCTGGCCGCGGGGGTGCCGGGGCTGCACCGCCTCACCGACCTGGTCCGGCACAACCTCCGTGAGAGCTCCGTGTTCTCCCCGCCGGGCCGACCCCGCCGCCGCTTTTTCGGGGTGTCCAGCACCGGGGGGCTGCCCGGGGAGCCCCCTCGGGGGCAGCTGCTGCTGCACCAGGTGACGCTGGAGCCGCCGGCGGTGCTGGAGGTGACGCTGGAGTCGGGCAGCGCGGCGGGGGCGCGGCAGGGCCGGCTGGCGGGGCCGGCGCTGAGCGCGGCGCTGGCCCGGCACGCAGCCGCCTTCGAGCGACGCTTCGAGGACACTTTTGGGCTGGGGACGCGCGGGGTGTCTCTCCCGCAGCGCCGCTTCGCCCAGGCCGCACTCAGCGAGATGCTGGGCGGCATCGGCTTCTTCCACGGCCGCTCGCTGCTGCGCTCGGAGCACCGCGAGGAGCCGCTGCCCGGCATGGAGTCCGTGTTGTTCACGGCCGTGCCCTCGCGCTCCTGCTTCCCGCGGGGCTTCCTGTGGGACGAGGGCTTCCACCTGCTGCTGCTGGCCCGCTGGGACCCCGCGCTGGCCCGCGACATCCTGGCCCACTGGCTCGACCTGCTCAACGCCGACGGCTGGATCCCGCGGGAGCAGATCCTGGGGGAGGAGGCGCGCTCCCGTGTGCCCCCCGAGTTCGTGCTGCAGCACAGCGAGACGGCGAACCCCCCGACGCTGCTGCTGGCGCTGGAGCGGCTGCTGCCTGACGCGCCCCTGCCCTACCTGCGCCGCCTCTTCCCGCGCCTCCGCTCCTGGTTCGAGTGGCTCAACCGCACGCAGGCCGGCCCCGAGCCCTTCACCTTCCGCTGGCGCGGCCGCGACCCCGACCCCGAGCGCTTCCTGAACCCCAAGACTCTGTCGTCGGGGCTGGACGATTACCCCCGCGCCTCGCACCCGTCCGCCCAGGAGCGGCACCTGGACCTGCGCTGCTGGATGGCACTGGGCGCCCGCGTGCTGGCGGCGCTGGCCGAGCGCCTGGGCGAGCCCCACGCGCCCTATCGCGACATGGCCGCCGCCCTCAGCGACAACGCCCTGCTGGAGCGGCTGCACTGGGCCCCGGAGCTGGGCGCCTTCGCCGACTTTGGCAACCACAGCTCGGCCGTGGCTCTGCGCTGGCACCGCCCGGCCCCGGTGCCCGGCCGGCCCCCGGCGGCCCCGCAGCTGCGGCGGGAGGTGCGGGAGGCGCCGCGGCTGCAATTCGTGGCAGCTTTGGGCTACGTCAGCCTGTTCCCGCTGCTGCTGCAGCTGCTGCGGGCGGACTCGCCGCGGCTGCCGGCGCTGCTGGGCTCCATGAGCAGCGAGCAGCAGCTGTGGACGCCGTTCGGGCTGCGCTCGCTGGCCCGCGACAGCGCCTTGTACCTGCGACGCAACACCGAGCACGACCCCCCCTACTGGCGCGGCTCGGTCTGGGTCAACATCAACTTCCTGGCGCTGCGGGCGCTGCACGGGTACGCGCGGGCGGAGGGGCCGCACCGGGAGCGAGCGGCAAAGCTCTACCGGGAGCTGCGGCAAAACCTCGTGGCCAACGTGTTCCGGCAGTACGAGGCCACCGGGTTCCTGTGGGAGCACTACCGGGACAGCGATGGCACCGGGCAGGGGTGTCACCCCTTCGCTGGCTGGTCGGCGCTCGTGGTGCTGGCCATGGCTGAGGACTATTGATGTGGGGGGTTCCTGTGCCCCCTGCCTGCCTGCCTGGAGTGCTCAGGGCCAGGGGAGGTGTTGGGGGGCAGCGCCAGAGCCCCCCTGCCTCCCCTGCAATAAACCTCCATGACTGTGGCCTCTCGCCACTTGTGTCAGGTGTCACAGTGTCACCTTTGCTGGCCCCCTGTGCCAGGAAGGGATGTTCTGCCCCTTCCTGTGGAGTTAGGGGTCACCACCCAGCCCAGTGCCCTCACCACAAATGTCAGTGGTACTTCACATCTCTTTAATGGTGAGAGAACGCGCCGGGACCTCCCACCCACCCCCATGGCCTCGGGCACCCCCCGGGCGATGGGGCCCCCCCGGGCAGCAGCACCGGGATCACAGGGGAGGCCCCAGGAGCAGTTTGGAGGGGAGGGGGCTCCAGCAGGACCCTACCACACTGCAAAGTGGGCATCACTCGGGGCGAGGGGCCCCCAGGGATGAGTCCAGACCCCACTCGGGGGTCCTGTGGGGAGGCTCAGACGGGCAGCACAGGTGAGTCGGGCCCCCCACCACCCCCTGCTCCCCCACAGCCCTCAGGCTCTCCCTCCTCCTCCTCCGCACCCCGGCCCACCTCGATGCCCGAATCCCCCGTGAGCCGCCGGTGCCGCCCAGGGCACCCCCCCGGCACAGCTCTACCCGCCCCACCCTCACCCCCCTCGGTGTTGGAGCAGCGGTGTCCCTCGGCCTCACACAAGTCCGGGGGCGCTTGTTTGGGGGGGCCCCCGCGGGCCGGCAGCTCCTCGGGCAGGGGCAGGTCCCAGCTGGCACCGGTGCCGGTGCTGCTGGAGCCGTAATCACGGCCGGTACTGCCACCCCCCGTGCCCGGGCCCGGCTCCGGGTCCGTCTCGTCGGTGCCCGGCGCCGAGAGCGAGGAGCTGCTGGGGGAGGAGGCGCAGGAGCAGCCGCAGGAGCAGGAGCTGCAGCCCCCGGAGGAGCCCGGCGACAGCGAGGGGCTCCCGGGGCTGTAGGGCGGCGGCGGCGTCCCGGGGCGCTGTGCCACCTCCTCGTACGCCGGCAGCTTGAAGGAGGCCAGCAGCCCTGGGGGGGGGAGAGGCGGGGTCAGGGGACACCGGGGGGACACCGGGAAACGGCCCCAAGGGGATGGAGATGGAGGGCACAGGGGCTGGGGGTGTACATGGGGACCCAGGATAATGGGGGTGGCACAGGGGGTCCTGACTCACTGAGATCCCCCGTGAAGATGTGGGGTATGAGGGGCTGGGGGTCCCGATTCACTGAGGTCTCCGCCCCCCGTGGGTTTTGGGGGTTCGGGGTAAATTGAGCAGCCGGTCACTCACGGAGGTCCCCCGAGGAGGGCGGGTAGTGGCAGGCACCGTGGTAGGCGATGAGGTTGATCTCACGCTGCCGCTGCTGCTGCTGCAGGCGCAGCTTGGCCCGCCGGTGCCGGAAGGCGCAGCAGCAGCTCAGCAGGATCAGGATGGTCCAGAGCAGCCAGAACCCTGCGGGAACGGGGCGGCGGAGCCGGTTCACACGGAGCCGCCATGCCCACCGAACCCCCGTGCCCACCGAACCGCCGGACCCCCCGTTCACACGGGGGATCCCGCAGATCCTCCCACAGCCCTCAGTCCCCCCCAGCTCCTCCGGAGCCCTCCGCCCCGACACAGCCCCCGAGCTCCCCGGAGTCCCGGCTCCTCCCCGAGCCCTCAGCCCGCCCGGAGCCCCCGTTCCCCTCGGTTCTCCCGGGATCTCCCCGCACTCACACCACAGCTCGTAGTAGTAGGTGCAGCAGCCGCTCTCCCCGCAGCAGTGCCCGGTCTCGCACACGTAGGGCCGGTTGTTCACCCCCGGGCAGAACTCCCGGGCCTGCGGGCACGGCCGCACCGTCACCGCAGCCCCGCGCGCGGCCCCCCCAGCCCCGACCCGCCCGGTACCTGCGGGTGCTGCCGGCCCAGCAGCGCGGCCCAGGCCCCCTCGGCGCTCCCGGGCCGCTCCATGGCGCCGCCGCCTAAAGCCCGCCGCGGCCCCGCGCCCGCCCGGCCGCGGCCCCCGCCGCCCGCAGCAGCCGCCGCCGCCCCGTGGCCGCCGCCGCCGCCATCGCGGCCCCCGCGGCCGCCGCCGCCCGGGCCGGGGCCGTCGCCGCCGCCATCACGCCCGGCCCGAAATCCCGCCCCCGCGGCCACCGTCGGCCAATCAGCGGACGCTCCGCAGCCGGAAGCCAATCGGCGCCCCCGCCGCCGCCCGGCTGCAGCCAATCGCTCGCCGTCTGCCTGAGTCTCACGCCCAACAACAGAGACAAAGAAGCCGAGCCCCGCCCCCTCCATGATTGGCGGCTATGGGGACCAACCGAAGACAGAGCACCGCCCCCAGGCTCTGACTGACAGCGATACTCGCCAATGGCGACCCAGTTCTAAGCTCGGCGAAGGGCGCGGCCTCCCGGCCCGCCTCGGGGCGGGCACTCGGTACAGCGCAACCAATTGGCGAGCAAACCGCCCTCCGTCGGTCTGATTGGCAAAGCGTCCGACCAATCAGCGTCACCGCTCTCCGCTGGGCAGGGCCACAACCAAGGGGCACTGCCGGAGAGCGCCCCGCCTACTCGGGACGGACCATAACGCATCGGGGGAGGGGGGGGAAGAGTTGGGCTATTCCATAGCTGGGGGAGGACGGGTCTGTACCACAGCGCTCCCGGGGGGTGTCAGACTGTACCACAGGGGTGTCAGACTGTACCACAGCGCTCCCGGGGGGCGTAAGACTGTACCACAGCGTTCCCGGGGGGTCGGGCTGCTTCCCCATCCCAGCAGACCCACACACGGCTCCTTCAACAACAGCTTTTAATCAGCTCTGCCACCTCAGGACCACCCTCTGTCCCTGCCGGGGTCCCCAACCCTCCGTGTCCACGGTGGAGAGCCCGGAGCCCTCTGGAGCTCCACATCCCAGGTGTCCTCCTCCGTTTGGAGGAGCTCCAGGTGTCCATGAGGAACTGCAGCTCTCTGGGTGGCCTGGCCAGAGCCTCTGTGTCCATGACGGACATTCTGAATCTCCTTGTTCTGGCCCCACGTGGAAGGTCTGGAGCTCCCCACAGTGCAGACCCACAGGTTCCTCTTCCAGCTCTCTGTGTCCGTGTGGACAACGCAGGAACTCCATATGGCCGGGTGGTCTGGCCCTTTGGATCCATGGCAAAGCATCCACAGCCCCAGAGAAGATCCACAGCCCCCCAGAGAGGATCCATAGACCCCCAAAGAGGTTCTGTACCCCCCGCAGAGGGTCTGTAGAGCCCACAGATGGTTCGTAGCCCTCCAGGGAGGGTCCATAGCCCCCTGGTGAAGGTCTGCAGCCCACACAGAGGGTCTGTAGCCCCCCAGAGTGGATGCATAGCCCCTGGTGAGGGTCCGTAACCCCACAGAGGATCTATAGCCCCCTCAGAGAGGATCCATAGCCCTCACAGAGTGTCTGTAGCCCCTTGGTGAGGTCCTGTGGCCCCCTCAGAGGTCCCGTAGCCCACCACAGAAGGCCTGTAGCCCCCATAGAGGGCCCAGAGCTCTCCTCAGAGTGTCTGTAGCCCCCCACAGAGGTTCCATAGCCTCCCACAGAGGATCTTTGACTCCCTGGTGAGGGTCTGGACCCCCATAGAGAATCCATAGCCCCCTCAGAGGATCCATAGCCCCTTGGTGAGGGCCTGTAGCCCCTAGTGAGGGCCTGTAGCCCCCCAGGGAGGATCTGTAGCCCCTACAGAGGTCCCGTATCCCCCTGGTGAGGGTCTGTTGCCCCCAGTGAGGGCCCATAGCTCCCCTCAGAGGATCCATAACCCACCAGAGAAGGCCTGCGGCTCCTCTCTGAGGTTCCATAGCCCCCAAGAGGATCTGGAGAGTGTCTGTAGCCCCCTAGTAAGAGTCTGTAGCTCTCCCTAGAGGGTCCATAGCCCCACAGAGAAGACCCACAGCTCCCCTCAGAGTGTCTGTATGCCCCTCAGAGGATCCATAGCCCTCCATAGAAGCTCCATAGCCCCATGCAGAGGATCTGTAGCTCCCCTCAGAGTGTCTGTAGGGGCCCCTCAGAGGATCCATAACCTCCTGGAGAGTGTCTGTAGCCCCTGGTGAGGACCCGTAGCTCCCCAGCGAGGATCCATAGCCCCCCACAGAGGGCTCGTAGCCCCTTGGTGAGGTCCCATATCCCCCTCAGAGGTCCCATATGCCCCTCAGAGGTCCCGTACCCCCCCTCAGAGGTCCCATAGCCCCTCAGAGAGGTCCCGTAGCCCCTGGAGAGTTCCTGTACCCCCTCAGAGAGGTCCCGTACACCCCCAGAGAAGTCCCGTAGCCCCTGGAGAGTTCCTGTACCCCCCCAGCTCTCTCAGCCCGCGCTCTGCAGCAGCTGCAGGTTGCGCCGGTAGCAGCCCAGGCTGCAGAGGGCCGCCCGGTTTGGGCGCAGCTGTAGCGCTTGGCGTTGCCGCAGCCGGCACGGCGCAGGGCTGGGCGGGCGGTGCGGGCGGCGCGGCGGCGGCCGCGGGCGCCGGGAAGCCGGCGGGGAAGGAGACGGTGACGCCGTCGGCGGCGCTGCGGTAATGAACCACGGGGCACGGGGCGGGGCGGGCGCGGCGCTCGCGCAGGGCCCGCACCTTGGCCTTGTGCGTGCGCGTCAGGCGCTCGATGGTCTGGTTCTTGCTCTCCTCGGCCTTGCGGGCCGCCTGCAGCCGCCGGCGCCGCGCCCGCTCCTCGCGCTTCTCCCGCATCTCCTCCGTCACCTCCTTGGCCTTGGCGCCCATGGGCAGCTGCAGCAGGGGCTGGCTCTGCTGCTTGTGCAGCAACGCGCGCTGTGGGGTGAGGAGGGGGTCAGAGGGGGATCTGGGAGGTACCCCCGGTTCCAGCTCAGCCCCACAGAGGTTCTGGGCTTCCTGCAGCCCTTCCAGATCCTCCCAGTCATGGCCCAGGGGTTTTGAGGGTCCCCAGTCCCCGTCAGTTCAGCTCCCCTGGGGGGTCTGGAGCTCCCTGAGCACCCCCAGCGCTCCCCAGGCCCCCTCAGTCATGCCCCAGGGGCTCCTCAGCCCCTCCTCAGCCCAGCTCCCTTGTGGGTCTGGAGCTCCCTGAGCACCCCCAGCCCTGCCCTGCAGCCCTTCCAGATCCTTCCAGTCATGCCCCAGGGGTTATGAGGTTCCCCAGTCCCTCCTGAGCCCAGCTCCCCTCTGGGTCTGGAGCTCCCTGAGCCCCCCAGTCCCCTCCCAAGATCCTCCCAGTCATGCCCCAGGGGTTATGAGGGTCCCAGTACCCCCTCAGCCCAGCCCTGAGCCTCCCCAGCTCCCCAGACCTGCCGGGCCGTCAGGAGGGACTCGTCCACCTCCCTCTTGATGTCCCCCGTTGTCATCCAGCTCCCCCCTCTCCAGGGCCGCCAGCCAGCGCCGCTCCTCCTCCTCCTCTTCCTCCTCCTCTTCCTCCTCCTCCTCCTCGCCCTCCTCACGGGCAGGGAAGCAGCTCTCAGGGTCCAGCTCAGGCAGTGGGGAAGGGGCCAGGTTGCTGTCCTCATCTGAGGAGAACAGCCACAAAGTGGGGGTCACACTGCCCCGGGGGGGTCCTGAGCACCCCCTGCCCACCCAACCCTCACTGTGAGCCCCCACAGCCCACCCAGCCCTCACTGTGAGCCCCCCCAGAACCCACTGTGAGCTCCTCAGAGCACCCATCCCTCACTGTGAACCCCCAAAACCCACCCAGTCCTCACTGTGAGCCCCCCAGAGCTCCCCCTGCTCACCCAGCCCTCACTGTGAGCCCCCCCAGAACCCACTGTGAGCCCTCCAGAGCACCCAGCCCTCACTGTGAGCCCCCACAACCCACCCAGTCCTCACTGTGAGCACCCCAGAGCTCCCACAGCCCACCCAACCCTCACTCTGAGCCCCCAAAAACCCACCCAGCCCTCACTGTGAGCCCCCACAGCCCACCCAGCCCTCACTGTGAGCCCCCACAGAACCCACTGTGAGCCCCTCAGAGCACCCAGGCCTCACTATGAGCCCCCCCTGCCCACCCAGCCCTCACTGTGAACCCCCATAGCCCACCCAGCCCTCACCCTGAGGCCCCCCAGGACTCCCCTTGCCCACCCAGCCCTCACTATGAGCCCCTCCATGTCCACCCAGGGCTCCCCCAGCCCTCACCCTGAGGCCCCCCAGAGCACCCAGCCCTCACTGTGAGCCCCCAAAACCCACCCAGTCCTCACTCTGAGCCCCCCCAGACCATCCCCAGCCCACCCAGCCCTCACTCTGAGTCCCCCCATTTCCCCCCAGCCCTCACTCTGACCCCCCCAGCCCACCCACCCCTCACTCTGAGCCCTCCATTTCCCCCCACCCCTCCCTCTGTCCTCCCCATTTCCCCCCAGCCCACCCACTCCTCACTCTGAGCCCTCCGTTTCCCCCCCACGTCCCCCCTGCCCTCGCTGTGCCCCCCCCCATGTACCCCCGGTGCTCACCCAGCCATGCCCGGTACTGCTCGATGGGCACGCTGGGCTCCTCCTCATCCCCCGCCAGCAGCGGGGACGGCGAGTGCGTCCCTTCGGGGACCACCGTGAACGTGGGGACACTGCGGGGGAGCAGAGAGGAGTTTGGGGGGACACACGGGACAGGCCCGGCCCTGCCTCCCCTCATCCTCCTCCTCCTCCTCGCCCATTTTGGTGCCCAGGCTGTGCCCCCCGCTCCCTCCTCACCTCTTGGTGCCCAGGATTTGCCCTCCCAGCTTAATCCGGAGCCGCAGCCGTGGCTGCCGAGGCGGTTCGGGCCCCGGGGCCGGCCCGGCCTCGTGGTGGTGCCGTTTCTTGTGCTTTTTCTTGTGCTTCTTGTGCTTCTTCTTGTGGCCGCCATGGCCGCCCGCCTCGGCCTCCTGCCCTGTGAGGGGGAACGCGGGCTCAGCGAGGGCTCCCCGCGGGCTCTGCCGCACCGGGGAGCGATCCCGCAACCCCCCCGGGCCCTGCCCAGCCCCGCGGCCTCTCACCGTGCCCGCCGGCCTCCATCGCTCCCCGCCGCCAGGCCCTGCGCATCCGCCCGCGGGGGACCCAATTCGGGACGGACGCACTTCCGGTCTAAACACACTTCCGCCCGGTCTGGCTCCCGCCTGTTGTGTGGGGCGGGTGGCGCTGCCGCCGCCATCTTTGAAATGGGCACTGTGTGTGCTGTCCGGGGGGAAACTGGTGCCATGGATATTTTTGGGCCGGCCGGGCAGGTGTGTGAGTTCAGGTGAGGTCAGGGCAGGGTGAGGAGATTTGGCTTCATCAATCCACCCAAATATCCCAAATATTCACACAAAACTCTCAAATACCCACAGAAATATCTCAAATACCCACATAAACCCCTCAAATACTCACCCAAATATCCACACAAAACTCTCAAATACCCACAGAAATTTCCACACAAACCCCTCAAATACCCACCCAAATATCTCATATAATCACATAAACCCCCCAGATACTCACACAAATATGCCAAATATCCACCCTAACCCCTCAGATACCCACTGAAATATCCCAAATATCCACACAAATCCCTCAAATACTCACCCAAATATCCACAGAAACCCCTCAGACACTCACCCAATATCTAAAATATCCAAATAAACCTCTCAAATACCCATCTAAATATCCACACAAACCCCTCAAATACCCACCCAAATATCTCAAATATTCACCCAAATCTCCCATCTGAGCATGGATCCCATGTATCCACACAAAATCCCCATCCAGCCCCAAAAAATCCCGCCCCAGGGTGCCAGGATGGTCCCCAGGGCAGGATGAGGAGTTTTGACTTCATCAATCCACACAAATATCCCAAATATCCACACAAAACTCTTAAACACCCACACAAATATCTTCATAAATCCCTCAAATACTCAGCCAATACCAAAATATCCACCAAAAACTCTCAAGTACCCCCAAATATCTCAGATATCCACATAAACCCCCCAGATTCTCACCCAAATATCTCAAATATCCACAAAATCCCCTCAGATTCTCACCCAAATATCCCAAATATCCACAAAAACCCCTCAAATACTCGCCCAAATATCCACACAAACCCCTCAGATACCCACCCAAATATCTCAAATATCCACACAAACTCCTCAGATTCTCACCCAAATATCCACACAAACCCCTCAAATACCCTCCCAAATAGCCCAAATATCCACCAAAAACTCTTAAATACCCCCAAATATCTCAAATATTCGCACAAACCCCTGAAATTCTCACCCAAATATCCGCACAAACCCCTCAGATACCCACCCAAATATCTCATATAATCACATAAACTCCTCAAATACCCACTCAAATGTCTCAAATATCCACAAAAAAACCTCTTAAATACCCCCAAATATCTCAAATATCCACATAAATCCCTCAAATTCTCACCCAAATATCAATAATATCCACATAAGCCCCTCAAATTCTCACCCAAATATCCACATAAACCCCTCAAATACCCACCCAAATACCCCAAATATCCACAAAAAACTCCTAAACACCCCCAAATATCTCAAATATCCACACAAACCCCTCAGATATTCACCCCAAAATCCCAAATATCCGCAAAAATCTCTCAAATACCCACCAAAACCCCAAATATTGACATAAACCCCTCAGATACCCACCCAAATATCCCAAATATCCACAATATTTTCTGTGGGATTTTGGGATTCCCTGAGGGATTTTGGGATTCCCTGGGGGATTTTGGGATTTCCTGAGGGGATTTTGGGATTCCCTGGGGGGTTTTGGTATTCCCTGAGGGATTTTGAGATTCTCTGCAGGATTTTGGAATTCTCTGTGGGATTTTGGGATTCCCTGCGGGATTTTGGGATTCTCTGCAGAATTTTGGAATTCTCTGTGGGATTTTGGGATTTTCTGTGGGATTTTGGAATTCCCTGTGGGGATTTTGGGATTCCCTGCAGAATTTTGGAATTCTCTGTGGGATTTTGGGATTTTCTGTGGGATTTTGGAATTCCCTGTGGGGATTTTGGGATTCCCTGCGGGCACACGCGTGGCACAGCGATGTCACCCGGGCACAGATGTCACCCATTGTCCCCCCCGTGTGTCCCCGGGCCATTGTCCCGCCCGTGCCAGGAGCCGCCGGCACCGATCGCCGCCCGCTGCCCCCCCCGCGCCATCCCGGGGCTGAACGGGACCGGGAGGAGCCGCCCCGGCATCTGCACCGGGTCCGTCCCGGTGTCCCCCACCGGGCACCGGAAAGCTCCGGGCACCGGGAGCCCCAAAACTGCCGGGATTGCCGCGGCACCGGGAACCCCTGGAAAGCTCCGGGCACCGGGAAGGCTCCACAGTACCGCGATCACCGGGATCACCGGGAGCACCGGGCATGTACCGGAGGGACGAACGGAGCCGCGCCGCGGTGGCGGAGGGGTCAGCGCTGGACATGGAGCAGCGCCGGGGCTGCTGCTGCCCCCCGGCCCCGGCCCCGCAGGTACGGGAATACCGGGAGCACCGGGAGCACCGGGAGTACCGGGAGCACTGAGAGCCCCGGGAGCACCGGGAATCTCGGGAGCACTGAGAGCACCGGGAGCAGCACCGGGAGCAGCACCGGGAGCACCGGGAGCACTGAGAGCCCCGGGAGCAGCGGGAGCACTGAGAGCCCCGGGAGCAGCGGGAGGAGCACCGGGAGCAGCCCGGGCACGAGCCCACGGGGGCGGTCCCAGCCCCTCCCTGCCCCCCGGGCCCCCCCCGGCCGGTCCGGTCCCGCTGCCCCGGCCCAGCCGGGAATTCCGGTGGGATCCGGCACAACGGGAATCGCCCGCGCCCCCGGCACCCGGCGGGGAGGGGGGAACTGGGAGGGGACGGGAGGATCGGGGCGTCCCGCACGCGGCGGTGCCGGGCCCGGGGCACACCGGGACATTTGGGGAATCCCGGTGGGTCTGGGGGGTCCCGGGACCCCGGTACAGCCACACTCGGGGGTCCCGGTGGATTTTGAGGGGGGGGTCGGTGCACCCTGGGGTGGATCCGGTGCATTTTAAGGGCTCCTGGTTCACTTGCGGGGATCCCGGTGCGTACAGGAGGGGGGGTCCCCGCCTTTCAGCGCCGGTCCCGGTTCGCTCGGGGGAATCCCGCTTCGTTCGGGGGTGTCTGGGCACACTCTGAGAGGTCTCGGTGCACTTGGGGACCGTCCCGGTGCATTCGGGGGCATCCCGGTGCCCTTTGGGGAGCTCCCGGTGCATCACGAGGAGTCTTGGTTCACTCGGTACCCGTGGAGGGGGTCCCAATCCCCCGGTACCGGCTCCGTACGGGGGCTCCGGTTCGCTCCGTTCGGTCTCGGTGCCCCGGTACCGACTCTTCTCGGGGGCTCCGGTTCTCTCTGTTCGGTCCCAGTCCCCCGGTACCGGCTCCTCACAGGGGCTGCGGTTCTGTCGGTTCGGTCCCAGTCCCCCGGTACCGGCTCCTCACGGGGGCTCCGGTTCGCTTCGTTCGGTCTCGGTGCCCCGGTACCGGCTCCTCACAGGGGCTGCGGTTCGCTTCGTTCGGTCTCGGTGCCCCGGTACCGGCTCCTCACAGGGGCTCCGGTTCTGTCGGTTCGGTCCCGGTGCCCCGGGGGTTTCTCGCCCCCCCCGCACCGCGGATTTCCCCCAGCAGGGGGCGCCCCCCGCCCGTTCCCGGTGTCCCGGCGCCCCGCGGGGGGGGCGGGGGGGACACGGAGGCGGCTCCAGGGAGAAGGGAGGGAGCGGGAGGGGGGACCCGGGCACGGGGGCGCGGGGCGGGCCGTGGGGCGGGGGCGGCCGCCGCTTCCTGTGCGCGATCGCGGCGGAGCGGGAGCGGCCGGAGGTACCGGGAACGGGGGGTGGGGGCACAGGGGGTCCCGGTGTCCGTCCCTACCGGGGCTCCGTTCCGCGCCTCCCCCGCACGGGGCCCCGTCCGCTCCTCCCACGCCTCCCCCACCCCCTCCTCCGGTGCCGTTCCCGGTTCTCCGTTCGGCACCCCCGGGCACGGGGTCCCCCCCTCCCCGCGCCCCTTTTCCCGTTCCCGGCACCCCCAAACTCTGCACCCTCGTTCCGCCCCCGCACCGCGAACCCTGCACCCCGTCTTGTGCCTGCACCCCAAACCCCGCACCCCAAACCCCGCACCCCGTCTTGTGCCTGCACCCCAAACCCTGCACCCCAAACCCTGCACCCCGTCTTGTGCCTGCACCCCAAACCCCGCACCCCAAACCCCGCACCCCAAACCCTGCACCTCGTCTTGTGCCTGCACCCCAAACCCCGCACCCCAAACCCTCCACCTTGTTCTGTGCCCGCACCCCAAACCCTGCACCCCAAATCCTGCATTCCCTCCCTGCCCCTAATTCCCTCCCCGCACCCCAAACCCTGCACCCCAAACCCTGCACCCCGTCCTGTGCCCACACCCTTTGCCCTGTTCCCACTCCCCTGCACCCCAATCCCTGCACCCCAAACCCTGCACCCCGTTCTGTCCCCAGCACCCCAAACCTGCATCCCAAACCCAGCACCCCATCCTGTCCCCAGCACCCCAAACCCTGGAACTGCTTCCCCTGCACCCCCTCCCCGCCCCCCAGCTGGTTTCCCCTCCCTCGCCCCCCTCATCCCCTCGCTGCACCCCAAATCCTACACCCCATTCCTACACCCCATCTGTTCCCCTGCACCCTCTCCTGCGCCCCCAAATCCCTGCCCTGCCCCCAAAACCCTGCCCCCCCTTTTTCCATCCCCACACTCCATCTTGTCTCCTTCACCCCATTTTCTCCTCGTCTTTTCTTGTGCCCTGCACCCCAAACCCTGCACCCCAAACCCTGCATTCCCTCCCTGCCCCAATCCCCAAACCCTGCACCCCAAACCCTGCATTCCCTCCCTGCCCCAAACCCCAATCCCTGCACCCCAAACCCTGCACCCCAATCCCTGCATTCCCTCCCTGCCCCGATCCCCAATCCCTGCACCCCAAACCCTGCCCCATCACGTCCCCAAAACCCTGCACCCCAAACCCTGCACCCCAATCCCTTAATCCCCTCCCTGCACCCCAAACCTTGCCCCATCACATTCTCAAAACCCTGCACCCCATTCCTGCACCCCAAACCCTGCACCCCAAACCCTGCACCCCAAATCCTGCATTTCCTCCCTGCACCCCAAACCCTGCCCCATCACGTCCCCAAAACCC